GCCCCTTTTTTTACAATGTGTATTCTGTGTCTGTGACTTGCAGCCGACTCTCGGGTTCGTGATCTGTATGGATGTTACGATATATTTTTATCGTTTATTAGTGTCTGAGACTTGTTTTTTGTCCGTCCCCCCACCCTTGGATATGTACAACTCACACACTGTATACTGTACACAGCTCAACAACACTTTCTCTTTGCAAAAAGTGTCCCCTGCTGCCATGCTGCCTTTTTGGGGTGGGGGTAGGGCTGGTGAGACAGTGTGTTGGGGGGGTGCCCTAAAGTCTCCTGCGTGCCTGAGTAGGGGGTAAGTATCTGGGATGGGGGGGTGCCCCACACCCATCAAAGATGGTCTTTATTAAAGCTTCCTCTTTCCAGCTCCTCATCACATTCTTGGGAGGGGGTGGCCTGAGCCCTGCCAGGGGTCTGTCTCGTGTTGTGCTGGGGGTGGCGGTAGCTTGGCTAAGAAGTTAGACAGTGCATTTGTACCAGTGGTTTGGATAGGGCTGATCCTGCCTCAGGCCCAGGGTGTTGGACTAGATGACCTCTGGGGGGTCCCTTCCAGCCTGACTTCTCTGTGATTGAGGAGCACAATACAGAAAGGTGGGTTCCCTGTCATTGAGGCACCTTGGGGGCATGAGTGAGCCCCCAAAGCCTGAGGCAGGTAGGTTCAAGGGCAGAGGGGGTTTGGTTGAGGGGGGTAGTTTAGGGTTGGGGGGAGGGGCCTGTGAAGCATCTCCCGAGGTCCCTGGGGAAGTGGGGAGAGGCTGTGGATGAGCAGGGAGCAGGGGTAGAGGCCCAGGCAGGAGCCTGTGGTGCATAGCTGTGAGCACAGCGCACATACCATGCAGCCACTGCAAGTGCATATACCATACACCCTGCACATGGATGTGCTGTGCACAGTGGATAGCCAGCCCGGCTGTTCACGCACATACATGTGTTCACTCACAGCAACCACACACATACACCAGACACTTGGGCTATGCATACCCACAGCTTTTGCACACCACTGACCCCCAGGCACCACACACACTTGCTGTGCGTACACACACACACACACACACACACACACACACACACCCCCCCCCGCATGTGCCTGGCCCACTGCATTCCCCCCTCCATCCTGTCCCCCATAAGCTCCATGTGCTCCTCTCCCTGCTGTGGGATCACCCTGCATGCTGTCTCTACTTTCCTGCTGTATATACCTTGCACGCACCATCTGTGCACACAACCCGTGTATGCAGCACATTTACTGTACATGCACGCATGCAAGCACTGTTCACCCCGACACGTGCACTTCCTGTGTGCATAATCCCCTTCCCTTCTCCCAGCAACACGTGAGCCAGGCCCCGTGTACACACAGCCCAAGCACTGCCTGCTATGCACCTCCCCCTGCAAGGGGCACACCTGCCATGTGTGCACACTAGCCATGCACTCATCACCACACCTACCTCTCCTAGAGCTTTTGGGAGGATGGGGAGATTTGGTAACCCATCCAGCCCTTGACCTCGGGGGTGGGCAGGCTGAGCTGAGGCCTAGCAAACTCAGCCCACATGAGGCAGCTGATTGGACAGAGCTGTTGCCTCCTGGAGGGGAAAGGCCATTACCCCACCCTTAGCCCCCTTGTTCACCTCCCTGGAATCCTACCTCTCCAGCAGATCAGACCACCCCCATTTTTGTCCTTATGGCCCTCCTCCGCACCCCAGGAATGACACTGACACCAGCCTCACTGTAAGGCACTTTAATGTAGCCACCACCCGTGACTTTACTAACACCAGGGCGAAGGAATTTGGTCTTTGGTATCTCTGGCAAGGGCCTCAGAGCGAGGAAGACTGAACTCCCAGCAACACTCCCCACCCCTTCCCACAATGGCCTCCAGTAAAAACCCAACCACCTATGTAATGAACTGACCATTCACTGCTCCTGTGATGGTGATGGGAGGGGGAGGAGAGTGAGTCACTTCTTGGGTCTCCCAACCCCATGCCATGGAGTATGGGGGGGTCTTCTCCCATCCCCTATGCCCCTTGTTGGGGTGGGGAATCTGTAATCCCCCCTGCCACATCCCAGCCTGTTTGTTGCCTCTTTCCCAGAATCCCCTTGGTCTCCCCTCGCCCGCCCCCCTCCCTTCCCAAGCAGTGCTTAGAATTGTCCGTGGCATCACTCCACAGGGACCCCTGGGGTCCCTGCCTCTATACATGTACACAGTGGGGTCCCCCACCCCCAAATACAGGGGGGAAGGGATGTACTAGATCCAGCTACAGAGTGAGCTGTGCCCCCCCCCCCGGGTCTGCTCTTAGGATCAAGCTTTGGCCTAATGTAGCAAGGGGCATTTCTTCTGTTTTGGGGACCCTGTTTTGTGGGGGGGGCAGCATAGGAAGAAACCATCTTGTCCTTCCCCGTACCTTAGTGCCCGACAGCCCCCACCCACCCCTAGGTTTGCTGGGTGGGGGCTGTTTCCCAGTCCCCCAGCCCCCACACAGTGCTAGTTAAGAGCCCCTGGGAAGACAGCTAGGACAGTCTCCAGTGTGGGCCCCCCCTTCTTCCAGATGCTGCAGTCTGACAGGGAGGCTGCCCCCCACTCCTACCC